GTAGGTGGACTATATGGAGCAAAAGCCTGATTAGAGTTCCAGAGAGAAAGTAAAAGGAAGCAAGGAATCAAGACAACTCATCCGAGAAGTTTTGCTATAAAGGAATGGAAAGAAACGAGGCAGATGCTGGAAGATGTGGGGTCAAGGGACTTTTGTTTGTTAAGATAAATACCAGAGTATCTATTGTCATGGGAAAGACCTGGTAAAGAGCAAAAGGGTGGGACTTCCCTGGTGGTCCAGTGGTTGGGAGTCCACCTGCCAATGCAGGGGACACGGGTTCGAGACCTGGTCCGAGAAGATCTCACATACCGCGGAGCAACTAATCCCATGTGCCACAACTACTGAGCCTGCACTCTAGAGCCCGTGAGCCACAACTACTGAGCCCACGCGCCTAGAGCCTGTGCTCCACAACGAAGAGAAGACACTGCAATGAGAAGCCCACGCACTGCAACAAAGAGTAGCCCCCACTCGCCGCAACTAGAGAAAGCCCACGCACCACAACGAAGACCCGATGCAGCCAAAAAATAAATAAATAAATTTTAAAAATAAAAAAACAATTTTTTAAAAGAGCAAAAGGGTGATGACATGGCGTAAGGTCTGGGGGCGGTGAGAAGGGGTGGGATCCCAGGACACATGTAGAATGACTGAATCCTGACTTCAACTCAGAAAAGTCCTGGATTACCTCTATCTGAGGATAGAGCTGGGCAGAAGTTCCAGGTCCCTTGGGATGTCTTGGAAGGAAAGCAACATTCTAGCCCAGATCCTGGGGCATCTCTTCCTACCCACAGCCCCAGACACACTACAGCAGGACTGGAAAGGCCCCATGCTTCCGCCAACCTGCTTTCCAGAGGATTCTGCCTGCCCCATCTCTGTGCTCAAAGGTAGAAAGGACCTTCAGGCCCAGGAGAGGGCCCAGGTCCCTGCCGTGTGCACAAACACACACACACACACACACACACACACACAAACACAAGAAAATCCCAGCAGGAGAGGGAAGCCCTTGCCCGAGGCCTGGGCAGAGTTTCAGACACAGGGGCTCTTGCCTGGCAGCAAGACCAGCTGGGCCAAGGTCTGAGCAGGAAGAACACAGTGGCAGGCTTCAGGCCTGCTGCCCCAGAGAGCAGGTGCAGGCCCTGAGGGGAGTGGGGTGGCCAGGGCAGCTGCTAAGCCCTGGTGCAACACAGCCCTGCCCTGAGGCGGGAGGATGGCCTAGATGGCCTCCCACATACTCGCCTGCTCAGGAAGCAGAAACTCGGAGTGGGCCAAAAGGGCCTGGGGGTCCTCAGAGCCTCTTCCTGGAATGGGGACTCTTCCAGCTCACTCCAGAAAAAGCAAAGGCCGGTTGTTGGGGGCGCTGCCTGATGTCAGGAATGAGTGGTGGCATCTGGCAAGGTCGGAGTGATAGGGAAACCGTGCACCTCAGATTGGGACTCGTGAACCCACGTGCCGGGACTCGAACCCGGACAAAACCCACAGTCTTCCAACTGAGATCACACACCTGGTTTCAGGACTTAATGAAGCTCAGGTTTTTGATGTCTCATGGCAGACAGAATTCAGTGAGAGACAAAGTGATAGGTAAGAAGTGGATTTATTTAGAGAGAAACACACTCCACAGAGTGTGGGCCATCTCAGAAGGCAGGGGGGCAGCCTTGGGAGAAACTCACTCCACAGACAGAGTGTGGGCCATCTCAGAAAGGGAGAAAGGCCTCAGGGTATGGGGGTGTCCGTTTTTATAGGGGTGGGTGATTTCATAGGCTAATGAGTGGGAGGAGTATTCCAGCTATTTCAGGAAGGGGCGGGGATTTCCAGGAATTGGGCCACCGCCCACTTTTTGATCCTGTGGTCAGCCTTGGAACTGTCATGGTGCCTGTGGGTGTGTCATTTAGCCTCCTGATGTGTCAGTGAGTGGAAGTTGACTTGTCCGCCATCTTGGACCCATTTGGTTCTAATCAGTTTATGTCATGGCCTCAGGCTATGTCATTCTTTCACATGTTGTGCCCTGCCCCCTTCCCTCCTGTTTCACTAGGACCTGGGCAATCAAATCACCTGGTCACCAGAGCACATTCACCCAACCACACACACAGCCTGACATGCACACAACCTCACAAAACCCTAGCAGCCACTTCCACGAGCATGCACATTCACAACCACACACACCAACCATACACACCTATGCCTCATGCTACCCCCTCGACCCCCAGCTACCCCACCCCACACGGTAACAGACAGTCCTCACACACAACCTTATGCGCGCCCAACTTTTACTTTACAAATAGGAACTGATGTCTACAACCAGTGAGCTCCCTACTCTCCTGGAAATAATTTCAAAGACTGTTCTGAAGAGTGACTGCTGAGGAAGTGGGTGAGGTCTCTTCAGGTGGGGTGACCAGGGAATACCCCTGTGAGAAGGTGAGACGTGAATAAGGAGGAAGAACCTGCCAGCTGAAGCGCAGTCCAGGCAAAGGGAACAGCAAATGCAAAGCCCAGAAGGCTGGACACAACATGGACTGAACATGCTGTTTGTGGAACAGAAAGCAGGCCAGTGTGACTGGGGAGCAGTGATCAAGGGGACGTGTGATGGGAGGTGAGGCAGGACTAGGTCACTTGGGGTTCTGTAGGGCAATGTCAGGAGAGTGGGTGCCAGGATAAAATAGGTGAGGGACATGATCTGATTTACATCATTAAAGCACTAGTTTAGCTAGAAGGAACCATGGGAGAAAAACTTTTTCCAGTTGTCAGAGGGGGGGAAGGCATTTCTAATTATGACCAATCCTAGAGGCCATAAAAGATAAGATTGATACACTTGACTACGTAAAAAAATGTTTAATTCTGCAAAGCAAAAACCCCATAAGCAAAGTCAAAATACAAGTGTCAAACTTGGAGGGGAGGGTGAAATCCTTGTTATTTGCATCATAGACACAGGGTATATTTCTTTAATATGTAAAGAGCCCCTAAGAAATCAATAATTTTAAAAAGGCAACCACCCAACAGAAAAATGGGCAAAAGCAAAAGACAGTTCACAGAAAAAGAAACACAAGTGGCCCTTAAGCGTATGAAAATATGCTGATTCTCGCTCATAATAAAAGAAATGCAAAATAAAATATAATGAGATACCACTGGCAAAGATAAGGTTTGCTAATGCTCTATATTGGCAAGAATATGGGGAAACACACACTTTATGTCTGATGGTAGCATAAACTGATACATCTATGGAGGGGACTTGGCAATATCTATCAAAACTTTAAATGAGCATACTTTAACCCCAAAATTCCACTTCTAAGAATATATCTTATAGACACAATTTTAAAAAAATGTGTTCAGTGATACTTATCCAACTGTATTTCTTGCAATGATGTTTACAACAGAAAGAAATACAAGATTGAAAACACCTTAATTTTCATCAATATGGGAGTGATTAAATATATTATAGTACCTATGCTATTCAGCTGTTTGTTTGTTTGTTTTAAGAGACAGCTCCCCATCTACTAAGGGGAAAATGAAATACTATTCAAGCATTAAAAAAAATGAGATAACTCTATATCTACTGATAGAGGAAATGTCCTATATTTTGTTACGTGAAAGGACATGAAAATAGCCAAGTACAGAACCATGTACACAGCACACCTCCATAGGGTAAATGGAAAAATAAATACCTACAGAGTCGAATACGCAGTTGATCTCAGGAAGGAAAAACCAGTAACTGGGAACCGAGTGGTCAGGTGGGCAGCCCTGATACATAGTCTGGTGTTCAGGGAGAAGCACTAGAAATGTGGGACTCAGCAGCCAATGGATAGTACTGGAAACCCGAGGACTGGATGAGCTCACCAGGAGAGAAGAGGCTGAGACCAGGATGTGAGGCCTCCGAGGTACAAGGAAACCAGGAGTGGGGCGTCAAGGAAGCCAAGAGAAGAAAGTGTTTTGAGAGGGAAGGAGCAGTCAGCTGTGTCAGGTACTTCTGAAGGTGCAGGAGGAGGACAGAGACATTACTGTCGTTTTTAGCACCCTTGATAGGGCTGTCTTTAGTTACATGGTTGGGTGAAAACATTGTTCAACGGATTGAAGGCTGACTAGGAGGTGAGGAAGTGGGGAACGGGTTTTGCTCTGAAATGCAGCAGAGCCGGAGAAGGTAAGGTGCAGGTGGCAGTCATGGACACCCCACCGGACACCATCATACTCACACATAGTCCCACACTGACACATGCACAGAAGCACTCGGCCCACCCCAGCACTGGTCAGTCTCAGCAATGATTTTCAAAGTAAAAGATGGCCTCTGCCCTGTGGCTTTGCCCTATCCGGAAGCTCAGCATGGCTGAGGCCTCCAGAGCCAGCTCTGCTCCTTATTATCTGTGTGACCCAGGGCAAGTCACACAACCTCTCTGGCTTTCTCACTCATAAAAGTGAGAAGGATTGTACCTTCCTCATCTGGCACTGTGATGATGAAATAAAGCCTGCGGGACAGTGCAGGGACCAAAGATATCTCTGAGCCCCCGGTGCAGTGTTAGTTTTCTACCAGGAGTAGTAGGTAGGGTGATGGTGTAATTGATCTTTCCAAGTTTGGAGTTACTTTTGAGAGTAAACGGGGATGCTGTTAATTACACCAGGGCCACAGGCATAAACCAGTACAGTCCTGGGAAGATGCCACGTATAATCACCCTTCAGCTAGCAACATCATCTCTGTCCAGACAGGGAGTGCTCAGGCCCTTTGGTGACTAAGACACCAGGACTCCCCGGGAGGCTGGAAACCCTGGGGGTTCCCCGACCAGGCTGAGGCCCCGGGGCTCTCTCATTACGTTCCTAGTCGTGGCACACTAGTAAATAAGACAAAGCGTCCTTGCCTTCAGAGCCCAGCCCAGCCCGGCCCAACCGCAGGCCCCGCCTCCCTCCGCAGGAGATCTAAAGCGCAGCCTCCGCTCCTTCACTTCTCTCTTACTCCCGCTCCGCACCGCACATGGGATTTGCCCCCTGCAGTAACTCCAGGCAACGGCCTCTCCCCATCCGGCCTTCACCCCTGGACGAAGGATCCCCCCATCTCCTTTCCAGGCGCAGTGCCCCTTCCTGCTGCGGGCACAGGGTCTGCCCCCCAACCTGCCCCCCACTTCTCCAAAGTGCCCATGCCCATTCCAGGACGCGGAGCCTGAGCCACGCACCTACGCGGGGAGGGCAGCCTCCGGGAGTGGTCGAGACCAAGCGCCAGGCGGGGACAGTGACCCGCAGGGCGCGGACACAGTACCCGTGGTAACGCACGTGGGCTAGTCCTGATTGCAGTCCGTCCGGGAAACACTTGACACTTAACCAGTTTAGAGCGCTTCACGCTCCGAATCTCATCGGACCCTTTGCCACAGCCCTGCCCAGGGCCACAGATGCCCCCGTTTCACACATGAAGAAGAAGCCCAGGCTCAGACGGGCGTCAAGCCCGGGAGAAGGTTGCCGGGGGAACGAGTGACAGTGTCTGGACTAAAACCCGACCCTCTGCGGCGGGCGGCTCCAGAGCTCCTCCCCTGACCCTCCCTCCTCCACGCCGCCCCCGGCGTTGCCTGCAGCCACGCGCCTCGCCGCCACTGCAGAGACGCGGCTCCGGTCCCGTTCGCCTCCGCTTTGGGCCTCGAGGACGCGGGGTCCCGGCCCCCCGCTGGCCGCGCCGCTGCTGGTGAGTGCGGGGCGCCTCCCCACCCCGCGCCCACGGCCGCTGAGCGCTCCCCGGCGACCCTGGGCGGGGCGGGGGCTTGATCCTGCCTTCGGGCCAGGCTGAGACTGGCAGGTGAGGGGATGGGAGGAGGTCGAGGGAACTAGACCCACCCCACTCCCCACCTGCCTTCTCACCCCTCGGTTCTGGGCGGGGAGGGGGCTCCAGCTGCTGAAGTTTCCCGGACAACCCCCTCCCCCGTCGGCAGGCTCCCAAGCTGCCTGGAATGGACGGAAACTTGGTGCTGGTGACGGCTGGGGTGGGGGGTGGAGAGGGGAGGGGAGTTCTACCCCGAGGAGCGGGCCGGCCGGCACTGTGGAGTGGCGGTGAAAGCTGGGCGCGCCTTGGTCCCGGGGCGGGGGAAAAGCGGATAGCTGGGAGCTGCTGCTGGGGGGCCGCATGGGGGGCCAGATCCGGCTCCACCAGTCCCGGGCCTGGGCTTGGAGGGAAATTCTTTGCCGGTGAGTCGCGTCCCTAGGGTGTGTTTGACAGGACTGGGCAGACAGGACTGGAAGGTGGAAGGTGGGGGCCCAGGAGGGGGCAGCCCCCAGGTGGGCCGCCCTGAGAAGGCTCAGGTGGAAGCACCTGTCAGGGCCCTTCTCCTCCGGGGCTGGCAGACAGGGTTCCAACCTCCACTCCAGTCTTCTTGAACTCTCGCCAGGTGAGTGCCAGGCTGGGGAAGGAATGGCCTTTTACTACTCTTACCACAGCTCAAGAAAGTAGGAATTATTTCTCTTTAGAGATAAGGAAGGAAGGTCAAAGAGATTAGGAGAAATTGGAAGTCACCCAGGTAGAAGGGGTAGAGCTGAGGCTTGAATCCAGATGTGACTCCACGCTCAATACACATCCCACTCCCCAAAGGACAGGTCTTAGAAGGAGCTGAGTTGAGGCAGACACGTTTTTTTTTATTCTAAGTATGTTACTGTATGCTGCTGCCAGTGCGTATAAAATAAGCGCCCTTGTGAAACAGAAGTTCATGAAAATTCAGAGAGGTAGAGGATTAAACAAATACTTTAATTCCCACTGGTAATTAAATTCCGGGGAGAAAATAAAGGGGACAGGAGCAGAGTGACTGGGAGGGCAGGGGCTTCCAGGTCCAGGGTAATCTAGGGTGGCCTCTAAGAAGAGGATGTTTTAGCAGAGGCCTCAGTAATGAGAAGGATGCAGCCATGCAAGTTTCTGGAGGAAGAGCATTCTAGGCAGCAGCAATAATTACAAAGCCCCAGAGGCCCCCATTGCGGCCTGAGCAGAGAGGCAGGTGGAGAGTGTAGGAGAGTAGGGCAAGAATGTAGAAACTGGGGGTTTATTCTCAGTGTAATGGAAGCTAGTAGAAAGTTTTAAACAAGGGCGTGACATGATTCAATTTAATGGACTCTGCGGGCATAGGAGCAGACACTTGAAGGCCAGCCAGGAGGCTTTGGTAATAATACCAGCAAGGGTGATGGTGGTTTGGAGCAGGGGGTGGTGGTGGAGGGGTGAGAAGTGGTGATGCAGGGGTGGACCCTCAGTCAGCATGCATGCTCAGAGTCACAGAGCGGCTCCAGGAGCACTCACGTGTGCACACAAGCCCACACGTACACACGGAGAGGCACATGCTCCCAACACCCTTTGCAGCATGTAGACACTAGGTGCACTCAGGCAGACCCACCTGTCCACACCCTCTGAGTCATTCCAGGACTAGGAGGAGGATGTGTGATCTGGGGACCCGAACAAAGCATGACTCCCCACCACAAAGCTCCGGCATCCCGGTTTGCTGGTGTGTCTGGGGCTCCCTCAGGTCCTGGCACAGGGAAGGAGGGTGTCCCTAGATTTTTCCTGGATCTGGTGTCCCCAGGAACCAGACCATTACCCTCTCCATGTGCCTCCCCCCGCAACCTGAACTGGTCTCCCAACTTCACCACCCACTGCCTGTGGGACCTTGGGGAGATTATTTCCCCTCTCCAAGCCCCAGTTTCCTATCTGGGGTTCATCACCCCAACTTCACAGGATGATAGCGAGGCATCAACAAGGTAAGTTTTTAGAAGCTGGTCTGGGGCAGGCATCCAGCAGAGAAAGGAGAGCAGGCGGTGGACAGCCCAGCCTTGAATTCAATTCTAGTTTTAATTTTTTTTTTTTTTTTGCGGTACACGGGCCTCTTACTGTTGTGGCCTCTCCTGTTGCGGAGCACAGGCTCCGGATGCGCAGGCTCAGCGGCCGTGGCTCACAGGCCCAGCCGCTCTGCAGCATGTGGGATCTTCCCGGATCGGGGCACGAACCCGTGTCCCCTGCATCGGCAGGTGGACTCTCAACCACTGCGCCACCAGGGAAGCCCCAATTCTAGTTTTAAATGAGTGACTTGACCGCTCTAGATTTCACAATGGATAGCCAGCATTTATTGAGCACTTACTGTGTACTGAGTGCTTTGCAATCCTTTTCTCATTTGATTATCAGTTTCTTCATCTGTCAATGAGAAGCATAATAGTGTCTACCTCCCAAGGTCCTTATAAGGATTAAATGAGATCCAGCACATAAAGTATTTAGCTCCTTGCCTGGCTCGTTGTAAATGCTCAATAAATAATAACTGTTATTATCAGCAAATGCACATTCCCTTCCTTCCGGCATATAGCTCTGTGACTTTGGGCAGGTTACTTAGCCTCTCTGTGCCCGTTTCCTCTCTGTAGCTTAGGAAGAATAACAGTCCTGATCTCATAGGGTCGTTGGGATGATCAAACGAATCCATCCACATAGAGAACTCAGAACAGCGCCTGGCACATAGTAAATGCTCTGTAAATGTCATCTACCCGTTCTCAGACCGGTTTTCCCATCCTGTCAGGCGGGCACGGCCCACAGCGCCCCCACCAGGCACCATGGACTGGAAGACGCTCCAGGCCCTACTGAGCGGGGTGAACAAGTACTCCACTGCCTTCGGACGCATCTGGCTGTCGGTGGTGTTCGTCTTCCGCGTGCTGGTGTACGTGGTGGCAGCGGAGCGCGTGTGGGGGGACGAGCAGAAGGACTTTGACTGCAACACTAAGCAGCCAGGCTGCACCAACGTCTGCTACGACGAGTTCTTCCCCATCTCCAACATCCGCCTCTGGGCCCTGCAGCTCATCTTCGTCACGTGCCCGTCGCTGCTGGTCATCCTGCACGTGGCCTACCGCGAGGAGCGGGAGCGGCGGCACCGCGAGAAACACGGCGACCAGTGCGCCAAGCTGTACGACAACGCGGGCAAGAAGCACGGTGGCCTCTGGTGGACCTACCTGTTCAGCCTCATCTTCAAGCTCCTCATCGAATTCCTCTTCCTCTACTTGCTGCACACTCTCTGGTACGGCTTCAGCATGCCCCGCCTGGTCCAGTGCGCCAACGTGGCCCCCTGCCCCAACATCGTGGACTGCTACATCGCCCGGCCCACCGAGAAGAAGCTCTTCACCTACTTCATGGTGGGCGCCTCCGCCGTCTGCATCGTGCTCACCTTCTGCGAGATCTGCTACCTCATCTCCCACAGGGTCGTGCGAAGCCTTCCCAGAAAGAGCGGCCTCCGGGGCCGCGGCCCCCCGTCCTCCGCCAGCCAGGCCTCCACCTGCCGCTGCCACCACAAGCTGGTGGAGGCCGGGGAGTTGGGCCCGGATTCCAGCGACGACAAGCTACGTGCTTCGGCACCCAACATGACCCCCATCTGACCACGGGCTGGGGAGCGATCCTGGGCTGCCCGTGGGGACAGGCAGGGAGGTATTGTGCCGGTGGAGGGGTCCTCCCGGGGCTGGGGGGCCCCACTCTGAATTCACTACACTATTCAATTTCACCTTTAGTAGATTGTTTTGAGCGCTGGGCACTATGCTGTCTGTCTGGTATAGGTCACACCACAGGCCCACTGGCAGCCCTCCTGGGAGAAAGACAAGCAAGTTAACTACTGCCTGCAAGGGGACACTTAGAGGACTCTGCTGGGCTTCACCTAAGCCAGGAGGGGATGATGGGGAGAGGCTTCCCTGAGGGAGGAATGTCTAAGAGAGGTGAGAAGTGCTTCCTAGCACACAAAAGCAGGTGCAGAGGCCTGGAGGCCACAAAGGGAAAGATGCTTGCCCTGGGTCTGGTGAGATGTACCAGACCGAAGGGAATCTTCATTCCTTCGGGAGAAGCACCCAGATTCCTGGGATGGAAAGGAAGTATCCTCCCAGCAGTGGAGGTCTGGAGGCTGCGAGTGAGCCTAGGAAGAGGAGGGGTAAGCTCTGGTGACACCAACCCCGGCTTGAGACACCCAGAGATCCTCTGGCTCACCACTGCCCTTTGGGAACCCGCCCCCCATCTTATTCCTCCACCCTCAGGCAGCTTTGCTCCCATCTTCCTCCCACAAGTGTACTCAGTCTGTTGCCAGCCTTTCAGACCCTACTCTCAGGGACTTGAGGTGGATGTGCTGATAGGAACATCCCCGAGGCAATTTCTTTGAAATCAATAAAGGCTGTCTTTTATACAGGTTGACTCTCTTCTTTTCTCCCACACTCCCACCCACAAGACCCTGAGGGCAGAGAAGGTAGCCCCTCAGAAGGGGAGAGAGCTCCATGGCTCGAGCTGAATTTAGGCTGGGGCTGGGGTTGACCCAGGAGGGATCTGGGGTGGAACCTACAGATATACATGCTGTGATTGTAGATGTGGTCACAAGAGGGCGCTGTGCTCCCTCTACAACAGCAGCGCTAGCCCTTCATAGTGAGGCCCTGCCCTGAGCGCACACAGTCACAGCCCTCTGGTTGCAGACAAACCACACTCCTTCCTCCTTTGTAACCCAGTCACTGCCATCCACAACGTGCATCCCCGCCCTGTGTACACAAAATCCCTGTTATTCATACTCTCACTCCTGTATGCTCACAACAGGCTCCTCTAAAGGCATGAAGCCCCAGCCTCACCCAAGCGCTATCCAGCTCCTTCCATTTTCCCTGAGCATTTTCTCCACCCCAGGCCCCTGGCAGACATGAGGACTGCACAGGGGAACAGGACCTGAGCCCAAGGAGCTCAGAGCCTGGGGGAGACAGAGACACACTCATCTCCTGCACTAACCAACCCCAGGTAGATCCCAGCCCCACTCCCAGCACTGTGTGATGACCTGAAATTTCAGGAACACCAACATCCAAGCCAGGACAGGATGGAAAGCAAAAGGGGGTGCAAGACTATACTCACGCAGAGGAACATTTAGTAACTATCAAAGCCAAGGCCAGGAGCCAGAAATCCAGGAGGCAGTGAGCCAAGAGCCAGTGCAGGCAGGGAAAGGACGGGTCATTGTGTCAACAGGACAGGCTGGGGTTCACCTTTGCTCTCACGTGTGGTCGTTACTGTGGTGGATAAGCCAGCCAAGTTTAAAGGGCCCGGGCCGGGCTGACACTCACCTCCCAGGTTAAATCATAGCTTAACCACTTCATGACCACAGCTTCACCATGCTGCACCTTGGACAGGCTTTCAGAACCTCAGTCTTGTCATCAATACAATGGGAATTTTATCGGTCAGGGTCTCAACAGGAAACAGATGGCACATTCAAACCAAGGAACTTCAAAGAGTCTCCTTGAGGGACTGTTTTTGAAGGTATAGGCATGCTGAAGGAAACCCATAAAAGGTGCCCTGGGGCTAGTACCAGGGTAGCAATGGACGGGTTGCCACACAAAGGCTGCAAGGAGGCATCCAACCGCAGCAATCAAATAAGTACCACGACTTCACTCTACCACCTCCTACTCACCTGCCAGCGGCTCCCACTGACCCAACACAACCAGAAACCAGAGGGCACAGAAGCCTATTGAGACGGTGAGTACGGGTCAGCCTCCCAGCGCACAGAGCAGATCTGAGGGGCAAAAGGAACATATTCAGCCCAGCACTCAGGACAGTATCCGCTCCTAGGATTGTTGCAGAGATTAAAGGAGACAGTGTCATAACATGTTAGTTCAGCGCTAACATATCCAGTAAATATCCATGCACAACCATGCTTAGGAAAGTCTCTGCCTGCCGCCCAGGCCATCTGGTGTGTCAGTCCCAGCTTGGAGTGGATGGTTGCCAAGGTCCCAGGGAGGGCTGATCGCTACCTATTTGCTGTGTTGCATTCCAGCATCTTCCAGGACAGTTCCCGCTGCCTGGATAAGGATGGCTTTGAGGTCAGAGCAACCAGAGAACAACATCAGCTATCCCAGCAGGGACTGAGCCTCCAGTCCTGGTCCCGCTTCTCCAAGCTGCGGGCCAGGACCACAGATGAGGGAATATTCCAGCCTTAAGCATCCCACATTTGGCCTGAGAGCTGTCCCCAGCAGTGCCGCTCACGCTTTCCATCCAGCATGTATTGAGCTACTGTTCACCATGGAGAGTCCCCAGCACACATCTCATGTCCCCTGGTCTTCTCTTATGAGGGTACACACCTCTACCTCCTCTTCCCCCAACCACGTGAGGAGTCACTGCAAGCTTCCTTCGATAGTGCTTATGATTACGATTTAGATTTCATATACACACTTTCGAGTCCACATCTACTTCATGATGTGACAGCCACCCTGCAGCCCAAGGCAAATAGATTATTTTGTATTCATCACCCTGATCCAAGCCCCTTGGTAGGGACTAAATGTTTGTGTCTCCCCCAAAATTCATATGTTGAAATGCTAACTTCCAGTGTGATGTTATTAAAAGGTGGGGCCTTTGGGAAGTGGGCTCATGAGGATGGATTTGTGCTCTTATGAGAAGAGACACGAGGGGGATGGTCTTTCTCTCTCTGCCATGTGAAAACATACTCAGAAGACAGCCCGATATAAACCAGGAAAAGGGCCTTCACCAAGAACCCAACCAGGCTGGCACCCTGATCTTGGACTTCCAGCCTCCAGGACTATGAGAAATAAAGTTCTGTTGTTTAAGCCACCCAGTCTGTAGTATTTTTACAGCAGTCCGAGCTGAGACACCTGCATCATCTATCATCTGGCTCACTGCAATAATCTCCCTGCTTCCTGCTCCAACTCTGGGAAGCAGATGCTGCAAAAGAGAGGGGTGCAAAGGGCCTGCTGGGGAGGAACACCTGTGAATGGAAAGGGGAGGAAGCAGGACCGAGTGACAAGACCCGTTCGTGGGAGCTCTGTGTCCGTTACACAAAGATGGTCACATTGGATGGAAATGGCTGGGCCCTTGACCACGCTTGGCTCAGCCATTGCCTGGGGCCACCCCAAGCAGAGCCTGGCCACCTGCACAGCTGAAGCAGACCTGGAGGCTGTCAGCTGGCCAGACTCCGCACAGCTGGGCAGCGAGTCCTCCGTTGAAGGGGGAGATCTGCATCCACCACCCACTCCCACAGTCTATTCCCAGCACAGCAGCCAGGGTGATGCCATAAAACCTAAATCAGGCCATGTCACTCCTCTGCCCCAAACCTCCAAAGGCATCTCACACTGGCCTTTAGGGGCCTCCAAGACCTGCCCCACCTGTTGCCTTTCTGAACCCTCATCTCTTCTCCTTGCTGACCTCACTCAGTCACGCTGACCTCCTTGCTCTCCCTCAGGCAGGAAACACCAGGCATATTTCTGCCTCAGGGCCTTTGCACTCTCTCTCCCTCTGCCTGGAATGTGCTTTCCTCCTGAGAGCCACAGGGGTCCCTCCCTTCCTTCAGGGCCTGCATCAAAGGTCAGCTGCTTCATGAGAATTTCTCCCTTCTTCTCTTCAAAAATGAAACCACCACCTCCTGCGCCCTCATCCTCCTTTCCTGCTTTACTCTCCACCTAACAGGTATCACCAGCTAACACATTCTATATTTTGTCTGTCTCCCTCCGGCTAGAATGTAAAGCCCACAAGACAGGGAGTTTTGTTATCGCTGGTTCCTGGTTGATCTCCAGTGTCTAGGACAGCAGCACCAGGCAGTGCTCAGCGCTCAGTAAATAATTTGTTGAATTCATAAATTCGTATATGAGCCTGGGGCCCTGCTAGGTGCTGGGCATGTAAACAGGACTCAGCTGCCTGCCCTCAAGGGGCTCACAGACTAATAGGGGAGGGGGTAAAGACAAGTAAACAGTGCACCCTGGATGGGGAGAAGGGAAATGGGGATGGTTTCATGTGTATAGAGTTTCAGTTTTGCAAGATGAAAATGCTCTGGAGATCTGTCGCACAACATTGTGAATGTATGTAACACGACTAAACAGCGCACCCAGGGGCAGTAGGTGAGCCGCTGAGAACGTAAAGGCTCATCTAATCCAGAGGAGGCCAGCAAGGGGACTTCTGGGGGAAGGGACGTGGAGCAAAGTCCTGAACGACTGTAGGGCTGAGCATGTGAGGGTGCCCCAGCCAGAGGGGACAGCACGGACAAAGGCCAGAGTCAAGTACGGCTGGATCACTGAGTGAAAGGGGAAGAGGGAGGAGGCTGGAGAGGTGCTTGAGGCCAGGAGGCAAAGGAGAGCCACAGAAGGGTTCTAAGCAGGGCAGCGTGTGGTCTGATTTCTGGGGAAGGGTGGGGCTGGGCTGGAAGCCAGGAGACCAGTTGGGAGGCCACTGAGATGGTGGCCTAAACAGGGTCACCTAAACAGTGGGAACAGGCCTAAACAGTGGGAACAGAGGGAGGTGTGGGGGTCTAAGGATGTCTCCCAGGTGGAATGGCCAGGCTGTGGGATTGTCTTGGCCGACCCTGGCTCATCCTTTCCAGGAAGGGGAGGGATCATTCAAACTCTAACCTCCAGAGCCCCTAAGGAAGGGGTGAGGGTGAGGGCAGCTCCTCCCTCCTTCCCAGTAGCTGGGATCACAAAGGCTTTGGGAGGGCCTGGGCCCAGCCACAGGAGAGGAACTCTGGGAGCAGAGGCTGTAGTGGGGGTGTGGTGAGAACCCGCCTCCAGGGACCTCGGTTCTCATGCCCTCAGGGGTCAGAATTTCGTGGGCTCCTCGTCAGCTTTGGAAATCCAGGAGGCTCAGCTCATCATGGCCCTGAGGGACAGTCCTGGAAGGGGAAGCTAGCTCAGCCTCCTGAAGTTGAGGTCTGGGCTGAGCCCACCACACTTGCTGCCCCAGAGGTCCTCCTGCGAGGGCTGAAGGCAGGAGCCTGGGGCACCCACCCTGGGGCACCAGGAATCCAAAGATTGAATCCTGTTGTGGAGGAACACAGGCCTTTCTGACACCGGCCCCAGGCCTTGGACCCCACCTGCCACATTCCCTTTCCTTAGCTGCCCTATCCTTCACCAACATTCTGACCCCAGCTCCCTCCCTTTCAGCCCTTTCTGCTCCCACCAAGACCAACCCACTGACCCTTTTTGTCACAAAAATGTTTGTTACGTTTTTAGCCCCCATCCATTGGAAAACTTCCTGTGTACTAATATTATGCTATGTGCTTTGATTGGATCTCCCATCAGCCCGATACAGTAGGAACTATTACCTCCCCAATCTATAGAGGAAAAAACTGAGGCACAGGGGTTTAAGCAACGTGCCTAAGGGCACAGAGATAAACAGAAAAGTCTCAACTTCTAGGCCCTACTGCCTCTCCCACCAAGGCCGGTGAAGCCTCGGGACGTCGCGGCCCCCAGTCCTTGGGCCTTTGCTCACGCTGTTCTTCTGCCTAGAATGCTCTCCCCCCAGCCCCCATCTGGCTGACGAAAGCAAGTTTCACATATTGCAGTATGGGAAAATCATTCTGGCTTGTACATGAGTTAATTCGAATTTTATGCTAACTAAAACAGCCTGTTTGTGACCTATCAAACCTACGTTGTTCATCTGCTTTAATTATTAAAGAAAAGGGTGCATTGACCAGAAGTAAAGAACGTTCATGTTAAAAATAAAGATCACAACATGCCTCCCTTCCTGGGACGCCCGTGCCGCTACTCCTCCGATGATGACTCCCTTCCCAGGTGCCAAGGCCGTACTGACTCACTGTGCGCTGCTGAGCTGTGCTTTTTGGGGGTTTGGGGTTTTCTGGGTTTTGCTTTTCTTGAAACCTTGAAGGAATGTATCCCTGACTTGTTCGATGTTCTTTGTTCTGACAAGATATAAACTGTGCTGGAAACCATGCTTCTCCAGAGCAGTTCCTCAGAGTTATCTGAGAGGCTGTCTCCTGGACAAGAATCCTCAGTGTGGCTCAAATAAAACTCTTTTCTATTCCTGCTATAGATTGTTGATTGTGTCCATCGCCGTGGCTAGCGCAGGCTCCTCCAGGAAACGCTCCTAACCAAGTCCCTCTGAGTCTAGTAGTTCTCAGAACTCTGTGCATCTACTCTAACCCCAGGGCTGATACGCTCAGCTCCTGCCTTCTGCTCCAGCCAGTGGGAGCCCCAGGCCAGAGACCACATCTGGCTGGTTTGTGGTGAAGTCCCCAGCTCCACATACAGTGCCTGCAGCACACAAGTGTTCACACACAGGATGATGCCTGAATGAACAATGGCAGGCTCTGCCCACCCCTAATTCCTTGGGATGTCTCCCCCCACCCCGTATTTAGAGGCATGAGAACGGGATCCAAGCTAAAGGTCGGGAGAGTCCCCGCCAGCCATCCCCTCCCCAGTCTCACGTGGTCCACGGGCACTTCTTAGTGCCCTCTGATTGTGTAGCCTGCCCAGGAGTGGGGATGTTTGAGAATTCTGCAAGAACAGGGGCTGGGTAGAGACCCCAGCTCCACCACAGACGCCAGGGAGGGCAGATTAGAACCCCTCTCTCCCAGTGTGGTTCCCCATGCCCTAACGAGTCTTGATTACCCAGTGTGGCTTTCCTGGTGACCGCAGGGCACCACAGTTTCCCCTCCAGAATGTGGCTTTGTCCCGGGGGGGGGGGCACTGCGGGGGGCACCCTGTGGCCACCCCACAAATGAGGGGTCTTCTCCCTTCTCACCAAGGGGTCAAGGAGATGTCCTTCCCTAGAGGCCCCCTCACCCTCATCCCCACCCGCCCATCTCTCACAGCCTCTCAGGCCAGTTGCCTGAGATCAGAAAGTTCTGGCTGCAATCCTTTCAAATGTAGCCACCCTGGGAAACTCACAACCCCGAAACCCCCTCCGCGAGAACCTGTTCCACAGCCAAGGAAGCTGAGGCTGGGAGAGTCTGTCGGCCTGAAGACCTCGGAGGGCAGACGTGGAAAGCAGCGGTTTCTCATCCTCTTCCCTTTCGACCCCCAGCGCCACCTCCCGGGCCCCTTCCTTGAGTGTGGTTTCAGGGAGCCTGCACCTCCCGTCCCGCCCCCGCTCGGCTCGGAACAGCGCCCGCCGCCCTCCCGCCGCTTCCTGACCCCACCCCGCCCCGCGTGCTATTTAAGGCGCCCCCGCCGCCAGGCGCCGTCCAGCAGGCAGGGCTCCCACGGGCGCCGCTCCGGCCGACGCGCGTCCCTACTGCCACCTGGGCCGCCGGCAGGCAGGCGGTGAGTTGGGCTGGGGCGCCACCTGCCAGCTGACGAGCGGGCAGGGACAGGTTGCCACGTGCCAGGGGCTGAGGGTGGCTGCTGGGGGACCCACCGCGGCCGCGCTCACCCAGCCTGCTGGGCCAGCCTCTGCGCTAAGCCAGGCTCCTGCCTCCTTCGGTCGCATCCTTAGAACCCTTGTTAGTAGGAATAGTATCATTTCCATTTTACAGGAGAGGAGTGCTCAGAGGTCGTCACTTATCCAAGGTCCCAGTTTGTAGAAGAGTCAGGATTTGAACCCAGGCCTGGTTCCAGAGCCTGGCTCTAAACAGCTTTGCTGCTGGGGAGAAGCACCACCCCTGCCCCTTTCCCCTACCTTCCTCCCCCCACTCTCCCCGTGGTGTTCTGGGAACTTTGTGGCCTGTGCCTCCACCCTGCCATGACAATTCCTTTCAAGAGTCTAGAATTTGGCAGCGACAACTTTGGCAGGGGGAGGGGATGGAGAAAGGGGACAGGATCAAGTGTCGGTACTTGAGCGGCAGGTGGTCAGTATCGCTGACAGGTGGAGCTAATGCAGGATGCTGCCTTGAGTGTCTAGCATGCCTTCACCCACCCCACCATAAACTCAGAGGTTAGAGTGAGGCCAGCTGGGTGAGAGCTGGTGGGGTGGGGAGTGGGGACCTGAGGCTTTCGGCCCCCTGAGAAGCTGAAGATATCACCACCACCACCCACTCCCCCACTGGCTGGGGGGGGGACAGCCTGTCCTGGGCAAAAGGGAGGAGGGGCAAGGCACAGCTTTGTGACCTTGGATAAGTTCCTCAAATTCTCTATTCCCTTAGGCTCAGGAGCCTCACCTTGATCCAGACCTCCTTCGGCTGTGGTCACCCTGGGACTGCAGCTGGGAACAAGAGGGACACAGATGTGACTAGACAGGGACCCTAGCTGTACCCTTGCCAGAGCTTAGCAGTCATCATCCAAAGATCTGGGTGTGAGTCCCCAGGCCAGTCCCTTCCCCTCCTGGAGCTCAGTTTCCCTGTAGGTAAAATGGGTGTGGCCGGCCTCCCTGCAGGCTTGTTGCTAGGACAGCTGAGAAGGATGCTGACAGTGTCCTCTGTCTCCCTGCAGACGGAGGCCCAGGAGCCATGGGCGACTGGGGCTTCCTTGAGAAGCTGCTGGACCAGGTCCAGGAGCACTCGACCGTGGTGGGCAAGATCTGGCTGACGGTCCTTTTCATCTTCCGCATCCTCATCCTGGGCCTGGCTGGCGAGTCAGTGTGGGGCGACGAGCAGTCGGATTTCGAGTGTAACACGGCCCAGCCAGGCTGCACCAACGTCTGCTACGACCAGGCCTTCCCCATCTCCCACATCCGCTACTGGGTGCTGCAGTTCCTCTTCGTCAGCACGCCCACCCTGGTCTACCTGGGCCATGTCATTTACCTGTCTCGGCGCGAGGAGCGGCTGCGGCAGAAAGAAGGGGAGCTGCGGGCACTGCCGGCCAAGGACCCACGCGTGGAGCGGGCACTGGCAGCCATAGAGCGACAGATGGCCAAGATCTCGGTGGCGGAGGACGGTCACCTGCGGATCCGTGGGGCGCTGATGGGCACCTATGTGGCCAGCGTGCTCTGCAAGAGTGTGCTGGAGGCAGGCTTCCTGTACGGCCAGTGGCGTCTCTATGGCTGGACCATGGAGCCTGTGTTCGTGTGCCAGCGCTCACCCTGCCCCTACCTCGTAGACTGCTTTGTCTCACGCCCCACGGAGAAGACTATCTTCATCATCTTCATGCTGGTGGTTGGACTCATCTCCCTGGTGCTCAACCTGCTGGAGCTGGCGTACCTGCTGTGCCGCTGCCTCAACCGGGGGATGAGGGCCCGGCAGAGCCAGGACACGCCCCCAGCCCAGGGCACCTCCTCGGAGCCTTATGCTGACCAGGTCTTCTTCTACCTCCCCATGGGTGAGGGGCCCTCATCCCCGCCATGCCCCACGTACAATGGGCTCTCGTCCAGTGAGCAGAACTGGGCCAACCTGACTACGGAGGAGAGGCTGGCTTCTTCCAGACCCCCCCTCTTCCTGGACCCGCCCCCCCAGAGTGGCCGGAAATCCCCCAGTCGCCCCAGCAGCTCTGCTTCCAAGAAACAGTATGTATAAGAGCCCGGGAAGTCTTGCTGCCTTTAGTGCAAGACTCTGCAGAGATGACTGGGGCTGGGGAAGCAGGTGCTTGCTGGCCAGAAGGCCTCACTGCATGCTGTTCTTGAACACCTGGGGCCTTCCTGGTGACCAGAGGGCACCATAGTTTCCCCTCCAGAATGTGGCTTTGTCCCAGGCACAGACAGAGGCAGCTTGGGGTGCTCTTGGCCAAGGGTGTTTGGGCCCTGTGGTCTTTTTCACCGTGTTCAAAGGGACTCGGAGACAACTTCCTCCACCCCCACCCCCTGGAAGATTCACCTCTGCCCAGGTTGTCCACACACCCTGTCCTCACAGAAAAAGGCTGGTCGAGGCTGCTGGGTCAGCCTTGATCCCACACACAGACAGAGCCTGTGCTGGATCTGGCCCTGTCAAGGGGACTGGGGTCTTGTTCTCATCACTCCTTCCTAGTTCTGCTGTTTATCCTTCTAAAATAAACAGGACTTGACCACAAGCGAGGTGTGTATTGATACTGTCATGATGTGCCTGGGGTGGGGGGACAGCTGCTTTACCCAGGCTTCCTTTATGGTCCTGCATAATCTGTCTTTGGCCTTAGCAATCCCAACACCAGGCAGCACCTTCAACCCTCAAACTCCTACATACTGCCTCTCAGCAGCTCTGAGTCCTAAACACTGCCTTTTGAAATGCCCCAGCACCAGCCCCCTCAACCTGCCCCTTAATCAGTGGCCAAAGCAGAGACTGTCCCCATCCTGCCCCATGGCCATCCAGTGCCCCAGCCACGCTCCCCACTGCAGTGTGCTTCCTTACTGGACACTGCTCCCCACCCTGCCTGCATGCCAGCCAAGCCCTTCAGAGTCCAGCTCAAATGGGCCTGCACCCCTCGGTGTTTGGGGAGGCAGGTTTAGATCACTTGCCCCCTCCTACCTTGGCCCTGTCTAGTCTGCCCACCAGAAGGAGCAACTCAAGGACCTGCATCGTAAATCCTCCCCATGCACCTAAAACTCACACAGTGAGAACAGACAATGGCAGTGTAGAGAGGTGGAAGGGACGGCCAGGGTCCAGTGGAGGAATCGAATCCTGCCTCTGAGTCACAAAGGTTGCAGGAAAAAAAAAATAAGCAATTGAACTAGATCTTGACAGATAAATAGGAGTCTGCTGGGGAGGGAAGAGGACACCTTGTTTGGACAGAAAACTGTGCAAAGGCATGGAGAAGGGGAACCGTTGGGGACTGAGGGGGTGCTTAGGGCCTGATGAGCCATCTAGGATGTGGGAAGTACAGCTGAGGATAAGCCCAGTGTTGGCAGAGTTGACATGGAAGGTGACCCGGATGGAGGCAACACTCAGTGGCCCTCGGAGGCAAGCTGTTGCCTGCTGGTTGTCCTCCCCTACCCAGGGAGATCTGGGGGTGGGGCTGGAGGAGGGGATGGGGTCCATCTCATGTGGCCACATGCTTCTCCTTGAGAACCATTATAGCGGGTGAGCAACCTTCCCCTGTCCCATCAAGATAGGTCTTCAAAACACCAGCTCTGTATCCTTCACCCCAGAATTCACTCACTCACTGCTTACCCATCAAGTCTGAATGCTCGGCCTGATAAGTTACAGCCCTCACTCTTCCAGCTTTGGTTCCCATTGTTCGCTCTGAATCCCTGAGATCCAACCAGACCAGCCTCCTCACAGCTCCCCAGACTCACTGGGTATGTTCTCACCCTGCTCCTTTGCCAGCCTGGAGTGCCTCTTCCCCACACTTCCAAACCCCACCAGTCCTTTATACACTTCCGTACCCTGGAAAAGGCAGAGCCTGAAGCAGAAGAAAGAGTAAGATGAGTTTTGATGTTAGAGGGTCCTCAAATTAAATGCTGCCTGTAATACGTATAAAGCCATGTGGTCTTAAGTCAATCATTTCACTTCTCCAAGTCTGAGTTTTCTCAGCTATAAAATGCAGATAATATTGCCTGCCTCACAGGTGCAAGAAATAAAAACAATAGAAAGTATATGAGTGCACCTGGCTCCTAATGCCATGCAATAAAATTCAGCTCACCCTCTCCAGCAAGGCTATCATAGGTTCTTCCTCCTCTAGGAAGCCCTCCCCCACTTCTCCAGCCAGTCTCCAGTGATGATCTCTACCTTTCGGCAATCTGGATCACTGCTTGGTACGAGCCTATTTCATCTCCCCAGTGAGCCTCGAAGGACCGCCGGGGAGACGTTCTTCATTTACCATGGGCCTAGCCCTGCACTCAGTTTTTTTTTTTTTTTTTTTGTGGTACGCAGGCCTCTCACCGTTGTGGCCTCTCCCGTTGCGGAACACAGGCTCCGGACACGCAGGCTCAGCGGCCATGGCTCACGGGCCCAGCCGCTCCGCGGCATGTGGGATCCTCCCAGACCGGGGCACAAACCCGTGTCCCCTGCATCGGCAGGCGGACTCTCAACCCACTGCACCACCAGGGAAGCCCCCTGCATTCACTTTGACTATAAAGTGAGGGATTAAGTTAGACTGGGCAGAAAGTAGACTGTTCATACGTTGGAAGGGCATAACTCCAGGAGGCTGAGGTCCCCTTCCAAGGGATTCTCCCCAAGCCAGGCTGAGAGGCCAGATCTGTGGGGTCAGAGGTTGGTCTCTTAGAGCCAACCCAACCTGGGGGCCCTGGGAGCCTGTGTTTCTGGTATCCCCTACCTGTCCTGGCTTGGAAAGGTGGGAGAAGACAGGTTTAGGTGAGTGAGGAGGGCATCCATCCCGTCCCTCAAAGCTTACCCACTCTGAGCTTGGTGCTGGGACTTGGGCCTTTGGTAAGGCTGGGGTTGGGTCCTAGACTGGTGGCCACTCAAACACAAGGGCAAATGGGCTGGGGGTTTAAGGATGAGGATAGTGTAGTGGGGACGGGACCACACAGATTAGGGCAGGGGCAGTGCGGTGAAGACTTATGAAATGAAGAGTGGCTCTAAGCCCCAGCCCACCCCTATTCACTTCCTAAAGCTGTCATAACAAAGTACCACAGACTGGGTGGCTCCAATGACAGAACTGTATTGTCTCACAGTTCTGGAGGCCAGAAGTCCAAGATCAAGGTGTCCACAGGGTTATTTCCTTCTGAGGGCTGTGAGGGAGAATCTGTTACATGCCTCTCTCCTGACTTACGATGGGTTGCTGGCAATACCTGGCATTCCTCAGCTTACAGAAGCATCACCCCCATCTCTGCCTTTATCTTCATATGGCATTCTCCCTGTGTGCCTGTCTGTCTCTAGGTCCAAATTTCTTCTTTTTATAAAGATACCATTCCTATTGGATTAGTGTCACCCTAATGGCTTCGTTTTAACTTGCTCACCTCTGTAAAGATCCTGTTTCCATATGAGGTCACATTCTGAGTGGCTGGGGGTTAGCAATACCTTTTGGAGGCACACAATTCAACCCATACCACCACCCCATGGGCCCCACTTCACCTCCAAGCACTGGTGGAGGGGGGTCAAGGAGAAGGCTAATATATATTGTACTCAGGCATCTCCTTTCTGTGGCCTGGATGGAACACAGCAGATTCACATCTCACGTCTTCCATCGCATTCTTCTTCCTCCCACCAGCCTATCCCTCGTCACCACCAAAATTCAAGTTGGTAACAGGCAACTCTTGGTCACAGAAAAAGCCGTAGGAGGCTTGACTCCTGCCTCCCACCCCCACCCCCTCACTTGACTGTGGTCCTTTCCCCTCTCTGGGCCTCAGTGTCACCATTGTGAAATGAAAGGATTGGATGAGAAACAGGCATGTGGCAACTAGGCATGAGGAGCATCGCAAGGAATAACCTGCCACTGATCATTGATCTGCAGCTCACAAGCGATGTGCTATTTTTCAGGAATCAGAACAGATTCAAGGTTATTTCTATAAGGTCAATTCCAGTCACTTGAATCCACATTGCCTTCCTGAGTAGAAAAGAAAGGGATGGGGTTATGTGGAGGGCACTGGGAATTTTTCATAACCCAAGGTCATCTTATCTGCAGCCCATGGGAGCAGTGAACGTCATGGGCCACACATAAACAAGACAGAGAGCTCGTGGGCTGGGTGATGTCAAAACTTCTTCCCCATCTAACATGCTGGCTCACTGACCACTGGGTTGCTGACCTCATGAATTTACCACTGACCTCCAGTGCCTTGACTGGAGGTCCTTCATTTCCTTTTCACACTAACGTCAGCATGACTACTGATGTTTGCAGGAAGAGGAATTCATCTCAGGATTGTTGGAACTTCTTTTTCTACCTTACAGCTTCTCCCACCAGTCCTGGCTCAGGCTTCAAGGGTCACATGAGGCTCAACAGTTCTGCCCTTCTTATCCAAGCCACACACAGATATAGCCACCAGGCTGGTCCTGAGCCTGCTTTTCTCCTATTCCTCCAGCTGACTCTGATTCCAGAAGTCTCTGGCCAACCTGCAGTTTGTCTACTTTCCTCTTAACATGTGCCACACTCCCCTGGGTGCTAGGCATGATACTCCAGGTGGTCAGAATCCAGATTATCACCTCTCTTGTCTCAAAACTTCTACCTCTATTAATGCAACCTAGGGTTACATTAGCTTTTCTCTTTTCTTCTCTTTTTCATATATAGAATTTGCGGGAGATAACAAAGGTAATGCATGATCATTATAGACAATGAGATCCCACCATCTTGGGGTAACAACTGTTAATATTCAGAAGTAATTCATTCCAGACTCTTCCATGCATATATTTAAATAAAATCGGAGTAAAGGTGTACCTATAATTTTGTATTCTGCTTTTTAAATTTTACATTAAATCATAAGGCTTTTCACCATGTTATCAAGTATCCTAGGAAACACCATTTAATGGCTTTATCATATGGCTTTATCATTATCTACTTAACCATGACCCTGATATTGGATTTTTAGAGTGTTTGCAACTAATTATCCTCTATTATAAATTGTCCTGTGGGGCTTCCCTGGTGGCGCAGTGGTTGAGAGTCCGCCTGCCGATGCAGGGGACACAGGTTCGTGCCCCGGTCCGGGAAGATCCCACATGCTGCGGAGCGGTGGGCCCGTGAGCCATGGCCGCTGAGCCTGCGCGTCCGGAGCCTGTGCTCCGCAACGGGAGGGGCCGCAGCAGTGAGAGGCCCGCGTACCACAAAAAAAAAAAAAAAAAATTGTACTGTGATGTGAATGTACACAAAAGTTTTCCAAATTGCCTATTTCCTTAAAAGAAAGATATTCCAAGAAGTGAAATTACTGGGTCAAAAGGTATAAAATTTAAAATATTTTTTAAATTTAAAAAAAAAATTTTTTTTTTAAAGAAGATGTTGGGGGTAGGAGTTTATTAATTAATTAATTTATTTTTGCAGTGTTGGGTCTTCATTTCTGTGCAAGGGCTTTCTCTAGTTGTGGCAAGCGGGGGCCACTCTTCATCGTGGTTCGTGGGCCTCTCACTATCGCGGCCCCTCTTGTTGCGGAGCACAGGCTCCAGACGCGCAGGCTCAGTAGTTGTGACTCACGGGCCTAGTTGCTCCGCG